CTCTAAAGGGATTTTTTAAAATGAACTACAAAACTCAAACTACACAGAAGTCAACTTTAACAGTAACAGAGTTGGAAGGGACCTAATAATAATAATAATAATAATAATAATAATAATAATAATAATAATAATAATAATAATTCTCACTAAACCAAATTAATCAAAAGAATAAACTTCCTTCCTTCAATCCTTCCAAATGCATACCCAAATGTCACAGACATTTTATGAACCTCACTTTATGGGAAGATCCAAAAATATTTCCATGAATGTAATGAAACTATATTCAACACTGTGATGCACAACGTAGAAGAATTTGAAGAATGAGGAATTTTGGCAGAATTCGTTAATCCTTCTATCTCCAACCTTATTTCTACCGCCCTGAACTCGCTTAAATAACTTCCAACATTGCAAGGCTGTATTTAAAAACAACAAACCATATTCCTTCCACCCACCGTTTAATCTTCCTTTTGTGCAACTCCCAAACAACCGCGTGAGATGCAATTAGGTGGAGAAAATTCCTAAACAAAGGTAGATTAATTAGCAGTGGTTACAAGCTATTGCATGAGATGGAACTGTTTCACTGTCCATGAGCAGGTGGATTTCTGCTGGGTATATTTCAAGCAATCAAATTAATATTTATTATATATTATATATAATATAATATAATATAATATATTATATATCATATAACATATTATATATTATATACCTTGTTTCCCCCAAAATAAGACATCCCTGATAATAAGACCAATTGGGCTTTTGAGCGCATGGCAATAATGCCAAGCGCTTATTTCAGGGTTCAAAAAAATATAAGACAGGGTCTTATTTTTGGGGAAACACGGTATTATATATTATATTAATTATATATTATATTATACTATACTAAATTTTACCATTACTATACCTATATCACTATAATATATTATATACTATACTATTACTATTATTATTACTATACTATTACTATACTATGCTATTACTATTTATTACTATTCCTATACCATTTACTATTACTATACCTATTACCTATACTACTATACTATTACTATACAATAGTATTGCTATACTATTACTATTTATTACCATTTACTATTACTATATTATTAATATACTATACTATAACTATACTATTACTGTTTATTACTACTGCTATTACTATTTATTATTATTACTACTATACTATTACTATTTATTATTATCACTATACCATTACCTATACTAAAACTATAGCTTCCTAGGGATAAACTGGAGAGCATTGTAAGTACCCTGTTTTTCCTAAAATAAGACATCCCCTGATAATAAGCCCAATCGGGCTTTTGAGCGCATGCACTAAAATAAGCCCCTCCTGAAAATAAGCCCGCCCTGAAAATATTTAAACGGATGTGCAGCCGGTCTCCGCCATTTCCTCAGGTTTCTTCCATGCGCCCCAAAATAATAAGACCTCCCCAAAAATTAGGCCAAGCGCTTATTTCAGGGTTCAAAAAAATATAAGACAGGGTCTTATTTTCCGGGAAACACGGTAGTAGCCTATGCCCCATCCGGGTATCAAAATGCCCTCGAAAAAGTAGGGGAAAATTGGACAAATGTTCATCCAAGCGCAGAAGAGAAGAGTAACAAAAATGATGAGAGGTCCGGAGGCTAAATTATATGACGAACGGTTGCGGGAATTGGGTGCAAAGTGTCCTCGACTTACGACCACAATCGAGTGAGTTTTGCTCCGTTATACGACTTTCCTCGTATAACGCCACACTCGTTCAGCAAAATCACTGCAGTTGTGACGCTAGGAACATGGTGATGATGTGAATCTGGATTCCTCACTGACCTTCCTCACTGAAGGTGGCACAAGGGGGATGTCATGACTCTCCCCACCACCCGCCCCCGGACACTGCAACAGTCATAAATGTGAATCCGTTGCCAATTTTGATCACATGATCTTGGGGACACCGCAACGGTCCGTAAGCATGAGAAACTGTCACGAGTCACCCTTTTTTCAGTGCCGTCGTAACTTTGAATGGTCAAACTAAATGGACTGTTGTAAGTCAAGGACTATGTGTATATCCAGGCTAACAAAGAGAGGGACTAGGGATGACATGATAGTCTTCCAATATCTCAGGGGCTGCCCCAAAGAAGAGGGAGTCAAGCTATTCTCCAAAGCACCTGAAGGCAGGACAAGAAGCAACGGATGGAAACTCATCAAGGAGAGAAGCAACTTAGAACTAAGGAGAAATTCCCTGACAGAACAATTAATCTGCGGAACAACTTGCCACCAGAAGTTGTGAATGCTCCAACACTGGAGGTTTTTAAGAAGAGATTGGATAACCATTTGTCTGAAGTGGTGTAGGGCAGTGATGGCTAACCTTTTTGCCGTCACATGCCAAAAGCGGGGGGAGGTGGAGGGGATCAGGCACACGCGTGCCCAAACCCATAATTCAATGCACCCTGCCCCCCACGCATGCTCGCGCAACACCCCGGCTCCCCCCGCTTTTGGCACACGATGGCATGGTAGGCCCGGTAGGCCCATTTTTCACCCTTCCCAGGCTCCAGAGGCTTTCTTGGAGCCTGGGGAGGGCAAAAACAGCCTTCCTCACTCTCCTGGAGGCCCTCCGGAGGCCAGAAATAGCTTGTTTCCCGACTTCCGGTGGGCCCGGAAGGCCGTTTTTCACCCTCCCCAGGCTCCAGAGGCTTTCTAGGAGCCTGGGGAGGGTGAAAACAGCCTTCCCCACCCACCCTGAGGCTTTCTAGGAGCCTGGGAAGGGTGAAATCCCCACACATATACCCCTCAGGCCCGTTTCCTGACTTCCGGTGGGACCGGAAGGCTGTTTTTCGCCCTCCCCAGGCTCCAGAGCCTTTCTAGGAGCCTGGGGAGGGTGAAAACGGCCTTCCCCACCCACCCTGAGGTTCTCCGGAGGCCAGAAATGGCCCATTTCCCGACTTCCGATGAGACCAGAAGGCCCGAAAATCAGCTGGCCGGCGCGCGCATGCACAGTGCAGCTGATCTAGGGCGATGGCATGCGTGCCCACAGATATGGCTCTGTGGCACGCGTGCCATAGGTTCGCCGTCACGGGTGTAGGGTCTCCTGCCTAAACAGGGGGTTGGAATAGAAGACCTCCAAGGTCCCTTCCAACTTTGTCATTTTGTATTCCGTATTTTTCTCCCTCTCTCAAAACATCAGCAGTAGAATCGGACAAACCGTAAAGGCATGTTAAAAATGGTGTTTTTTTTTTCTTTCTTGAGCTGGAACTGGAAAAACAGAAACCAGAAGGCCCGTTTCAGTATGAAACCAACTTGCAGCCGACCGATAAAGATTTGTACCTGTCTGAAATCACAACTTCACCTAACTGAAAGGCAGGCCTGTAGCGGAGTGGGCGAGCCCCGGCTAAACATTCCTGCCATTAACAGGACCGCGTACCAAGCGGTCAGCCAATCCTACGCTTGACTATCTCACAACTCAAGCTCTGGATGTTCAAATAAACTCCAGAGAGTTATTACTTAATCGTGGGGAAGGGCCAACAGCTGCAAAACTTTCGCTTTGCCCTTAATGTAAGGGGGGAAAGAAAAGAAAAGAAAAGAAAAGAAAAGAAAAGAAAAGAAAAGAAAAGAAAAGAGAGGGGGAAAAAGAAGGGGAGGAGAGGAGAGTAAGAAAGGGAAGGGAAGGGAAGGGAAGGGAGGGAGGGGAGGGGAAGGGAAGGGAAGGAAAAAAGAAAGAAAAGAAGAAGGGAAGGAAAGAAATAAAAAAAAAGGGAAGGAAGGAGAAGGAGAAAGGAAAGGAAAAAAGAAAGAAAGAAAAGAGGAAGGGAAGGGAAGGAATAAAGATAAAGGTAGGGAAAGGAAGGGAAGGGAAGGGAAGGGAAGGGAAGGAAAAAAGAAAGAAAAGAGGAAAAGAGAAGGGAAGAAATAAAGAAAAAGGGAAGGAAGGAGAAGGAGAAAGAAAAGGAAAAAAGGAAGAAAGAAAAGAGGAAGGGAAGGGAAGGAATAAAGAAAAAGGGAAGGAAGGAGAAGGAGAAAGGAAAGAAAAAAGAAAGAAAGAAAGAAAAGAGGAAGGGAAGGGAAGGAATAAAGATAAAGGTAAGGAAGGGAAGGGAAGGGAAGGGAAGGGAAGGGAAGGGAAGGAAAGGAAAAAAGAAAGAAAAGAGGAAGGGAAGAGAAGGAAAGAAATAAAGAAAAAGGGAAGGAAGGAGAAGGAAAAGGAGAAAGAAAAGAAAAAAGAAAGAAAGAAAAGAGGAAGGGAAGGAATAAAGAAAAAGGGAGAGAAGGAGAAGAGGGAGGAAGGAAGGAAGGAAGGAAGGAAAGAAAGAAAGAAAAGAGGAAGGGAAGGGAAGGAAAGGAAAGGAGAAAGGAGAGGAAAGGAAAGGAAAGTAAAAAAGAAAAAGGGAAGGAAGGAGAAAGAGAAGGGGAAAGGAAAAAAGAAAGAAAGAAAAGAGGAAGGGAAGGGAAGGGAAAAGAAAGAAAAGAAGAAGGGAAGGAATAAAGAAAAAGGGAGAGAAGGAGAAGGAGGGAAGGAAGGAACCGCGGGACATTTCCAAGGGCATTTCGACTAATCCTGCCCCGATTAGGCATCAACCCCCACCAACCCCCCCCAAAAAAGGCCTCCATCAGAAACCGGGCGGGCCCCTTTAGCCAAGAAAAGTCCAAGAAACCGCCCCCTCCCCCAAAAAAAGGCTGAGTGCCCCCACCCCAACTTCCCCCCCCCTCCTTCTCTTCCCAAGGAGCTGGGGCCGCCTTTGGGGCTGCTTGGAAGGGGAGAGCAATAAAAATGGGGGGGGGGAGGTGGACCCCCTCCTCCGGGTCGGTGGAAGGAGAGAGAGAGAGAGAGAGAATAAAATTTGGGGGGGGTCCTAATCCTCCCCCCCCCCCCCCCCCCCCCCCCCCCCCCCCCCGTTGAGTCCATTGCAAAGAACCGATTTTGCAAAGTTTGCAAAGTTTGCAAAGGGATTTGGGGGCTGCTGGGGGGGGGGAGCCCCCCCCCCCCTTTTTTAGACCCCCCCCCCCAAGCACCCACCGAGAGGCCGGACGGGCGTCGTCAGCAGCCGAGCGGCGTCGTCAGCGGGCGCGGCGGTCGTCCCTGCGGGAGGCATCGCTCGGCAGCCGGATCCCTTCTCTCCTTTCGACCCCTCGGGCTGCAATCCCCGGGCTCCGGCTCAGGCTCCTCCCACCGGCCCCGCCCCGCCCCGCCGGCCAGCCTTTTCCCGGGTTGAGCGCCACTGAGCATGCTCGGCGCGCCGCCCACGGAGGGTGGTGGAGGCCCGCGGGCGCCCGGTTGACGGGCGAGGCTTTGAGGGGGGGAAAAAAGTTTTGAGTGGAGGAGCCCTTCCGCTCTCTCACCGCCACTTTTGGGGGGGGCTTTGGGGAGAGAAAGAGAGAGAGAGGAGATGATAGATAGATAGATAGATAGATAGATAGATAGATAGATAGATAGATAGATAGATAGATACCAGGAGAGAAAGAAAGAGAGAGAGAGAGAGATACCGGGAGAGAGATAGAGATACCAGGAGAGAGAGAAAGAGAGAGAGAGGAGATAGATAGATAGATAGATAGATAGATAGATAGATAGATAGATAGATAGATAGATAGATACCGGAGAGAAAGAAAGAGAGAGAGAGAGAGAGAGATACCAGGAGAGAGAGAGAGAGAGAGAGAGGAGATAGATAGATAGATAAATAGACAGACAGACAGACAGATAACCGGGGAGAGAGAGAGAGAGATAGCGGGAGAGGGAGAGAGATACCAGGAGGAGAGAGAGAGAGAGAGATAGACAGACAGACAGACAGATAGATACAAGGAGGAGAGAAAGAAAGAGAGAGAGAAGAGGAGATAGATAGATAGATAGATAGATAGATAGATAGATAGATAGATAGATAGATAGATAGATAGATATAGATAGACAGACAGACAGACAGAGAGATAGAGATAGATAGATAGATAGATAGATAGATAGATAGATAGATAGATAGATGATAGATAGATAGATAGATAGACAGACAGACAGACAGACAGACAGACAGACAGATAACCAGGGGGAGAGAGAGAGATAGCGGGAGAGGGAGAGAGATACCAGGAGAGAGAGATATATATATATAACAGGAGAGAGATAGAGATACCAGGAGAGAGAGAAAGAGAGAGAGAGAGAGAGAGATACCGGGAGAGAGAGAGAGATACCAGGAGAGAGAGAGAGAGACCGGGGGAGAGAGAGAGAGAGGGAAGGAGAAAGAGACAGAGAGACAGATAGATAGATACCGGGAGAGAGGGGGAGAGAGAGGAGACAGAGAGTAGATAGATAGATAGATAGATAGATAGATAGATAGATAGATAGATAGATAGATAGATAGATACAGGGAGAGAGAGAGGGAGAAAGAGACAGAGAGATAGGTACCCGGAGAGAAGGGGGCGGGAATAGAGAGGGAGAGAGAGAGTAGATAGATAGATAGATAGACAGACAGACAGATAGATAGATACTGGGGAGAAGAGAGAGATACCAGGAGAGAGAGAGAGAGAGACCGGGAGAGAGAGAGAGGCGAGAGAGAGAGGGAGAAAGAGACAGAGAGACAGATAGATAGATACCGGGAGAGAGAGGTGAGGGAGAGAGAGTAGATAGATAGATAGATAGATAGATAGATAGATAGATAGATAGATAAGATAAGATACCGGGAGAGAGAGAGAAAGATACCAGGAGAAAGAGAGAGAGAGACCGGGAGAGAGAGAGAGGGCGAGAGAGAGAGGGAGAAAGAGACAGAGAGACAGATAGATAGATACCGGAGAGAGGGGGGGGAGAGAGTAGAGAGTATTTATTTTATTTATTTTATTCAATTTGTATACCGCCCTTCTCCTAGTGGACTCAGGGCGGTGCACAGCCAGAACTAAAAACACATACCAATACAAAATTTAAAATTATTAAAAGAATTACATACTTTGGCCCAAATTTAAAACAATTCAAATTAAAACCCATTGACAAATTAAAAGCTAAAAAACTAAAAAAAAGTGGGGGTTCACGCCAGCCCTGCTTGATGGAAAAGAAAAGTTTTCAGGGCACGGCGAAAGACCCGGAGATCCGATATCCTTCGTATCTCCGGGGGCAAATCGTTCCAGTGGGCGGGAGCTGCCACAGAGAAGGCCCTCCCCCTGGGGGTCGCCAGCCGACATTGCCTGGCCGACGGCACCCTGAGGAGTCCCTCTCTGTGGGAGCGTACTGGTCGGTGGGAGGCTATCGGTGGCAGAAGGCGGTCCCGCAAATATATTTCAATAGCCTTCAGTTCTGATCTGCGTTAAAGTGAAAGTCTATATATTCCTAAACTCACCTCAGCAATCCCTTTATTCGTGGAGATAGACAGTCTGCATTTGCTAGCGAAGGCTGTTCTGAAAATTAGAAACCACAAATTATAGCTGAAGGGGACAGGAAGGAAAAAGATTATTTGTGCTGTAACACCATCCATTATATGTTCTGGAGACCATATAATTAAGCTCTGTCTACCTGATAAGGAAATAGTTGGATAGTCTCGGGTACGATATATGCATTTAAAGCAATTTCAAATTGGCTTTGGAGATGCTCTCATACCCAGGCAGTTCATTTTTTTTTTTCTATATCTTGTATATATCGTATTTTTCGGACTATAAGACGCACCAGAGTGTAAGACGCACCAAGATTTTGAAAACGAAAACAAGAAAAAAAAATAGTTTTTTGCCTCCGCACGTCCGGTTTTTGCCCTCCCCGGCCTCCAGGAGCACTCTGCAGGCCTCCGAAATCCTCTGCGCATCCCATTTTTGCAAAAAACAGGCCCATTTTTGACCTCCCAAACCTGCCACGCGTCACATTTTTGCCCTCCCCAGCCCCCAGGAGCACTCTGCAGGCCTCCCAAACCCTCTGCATTTCCCATTTTTCCAGAAAACGGGCCTGTTTTTGGCAAAAACAGGACGCGCGGGGCGGGGATATATATATATCAAGCTGATGAAGGGAGGAGAACTTGTGGCTCAACTGCCTAACATGCAGGCAGCCCAAGTTCGAATCCAAGTAAGGGTATGGCTAGCTGATGAAAGCTAAAAAGCTTGAAATAGATCTATACTAGTCTATATATATTTGTGTGTGTTTGAGAAGCTCAAAATTTCCGTTGCTAAGTAAGATGGTTGTTAAGTGAGTTTTGCCCCATTTTACGACCTTCCTTGCCACTGTGGTTAAGCGAACCACCGTAGTTGTTACGAGAATGGGGCTTTCCCCATTGGCTTTGCTCTTCAGATGGTCGCAAAAGGGGATTGCATGACCCCGAGACACTGGAACCGTCATAAATACACGCCAGATGCCAAACTGAATTTGGATCATGTCATAAGTGTGAAAAATGGTCATAAGTCACTTTTCAGTGCTGTCGAACGATCACTAAACAAATTGTTAGCATGTTTCTCTGAAAATAAGACAAGGTCTTATATTAATTTTTGCTCCAAAAGACACACTAGGTCCTATTTTCGGGAAAATGTGGTATTAAATGCATCTGTCTCGCTGACAATCTTAACTGGGGCTTATTTTTGGGGTAGGGCTTATATTACGAGCATCCTGAAAAATCATGCTCGGGTACTAGACTGGATACAATCTTACTGCTTTCTTATTGATTATGAGCCATCAGTTCAATGTTGACTGTTAGCAACCACATCAATGGATTTATTTCCAGGACCATCTGGTCCTTTGGAAGTCTTCCAAAGATCTGGCCAGTTGAGTCCATCCACAAGGTTATTGGCTTCTCTCTTTCCTTCCATCTTCGCACCATTGCAGACTTCTCAAGGGAGCTAAATCTTTGCTTAATTTGTGCGGAATATGACAACTTGAATCTGTTTGTTTGTGCCTCGAGTGAGAAGATTGGATTGAATTTTTCTGCGATCCGTCTGTTTGTTTTCCTGGCTGTCCATGATATATTTTTCAGAGTTTCTTCCAAAGTTTAAAAACGTCAATGTGTTTTTCTATCTTGTTTCTTCAGCGTCCGGTTATCACTTCCGTAAAATATCACAGGAAGCAACATAGCCAGAGGTGAAATGCTCCCGGTTCGGACTGAATCAGCTGATCCGGTAGTGATGGCTGCAGGTGGTTCAGAGAACTGGTAGCAAAAATCCCTTTCCCCTGCCACTTCATTTTAAAAAATGCTTTTAAAGGGTAAAAAAAAGGCTCGGACGATCTCAGCTGAGCTGCCTGATTGTTAGAGCCTTTTTTTTTACTTTTAAAAGCATTTTTTTTACAACCTATTCGGGGTTAAAAAAAATATAAAACAAGTCTTATTTTCGGAGAAACATGTTAATTCAGAATGGATTTCTGTTTCTTAAACCACAGAGATTCTTGAACGATGGGATTTTTTGTGCTCTCTTGAAATAGTTGTTTTCCTACAGACATTTTATGGCCCAACTAGGTAACGTCATCAGTGCTAGAGGTATATTTGAAGGTGTTTTCCTTCATCCCAATAAATCAGGCTTTGTGAGAACTTGGAAATTCACACGGATTTCCAATAAATTCAATTCATTCCTCTCCCAGATCATTGTCCCTGAACTCATCACGTTCATTTTTCTATGCCCTTCAGATAATTCTGCCAGTGACTCTCAGCTTTTGATCCAATAAGCAGACTGAGCTCGGAAATCGTTGTATACATATTTGTGAATTATTAACTTATTAATCCTTCGAAAGGCATAAAGAAGGCCGCAGCCGGGAGAACAGGTAAGTTTACGACTGCGTGGACACGAGCTAAGCAGTTTGATCAGGAATAGGTCAGATCTTGGCATCTTCCAACAGTGATGTTTCAAAAGTTTGCTTCCTGTAAGGAATCCTCAAAATAGCAGTAATTCGATGGCATGGATTGAACCAGGGATGAAATCAAGCAGGTTCTGACAGGTTCTGGAGAACTGGTAGCAGAAATTTTGAGCAGTTCGGAGAACCGGTAGCGGAAATTTTGAGTAGTTCGGAGAACCAGCAAATACCACCTCTGGCTGGCCCCAGAGTGAGGTGGGAATGGAGATTTTGCAATATCCTTCCCCGGAGTGGGGTGAGAATGGAGATTTTGTAGTATTCTTTCCCTGCCACGCCTACCAAGCCACACTACGCCCACCAAGCCACGCCCACAGAACCGGTGGTGAAAAACATTGGATTTCACCACTGGATTGAACGCGTCCG